CAAAGCAAATTTAGAGAGTTCATATGTAGAGAATTGTTTCATTAATGAAAAAATGATGTATTTAGCATCTTGGATTGTCGATGTGTATGTGAACTTGAGTGATGAATGAAGACAATATGTGAAAGGGTGTTTAAAAAATAAACATTAAAAGTAACCTAGTATTCTAAATTCATAATGAGCTATCACAAAGTTATCTGAAGTAAATTTGAGTGAGAGTTAGATCGGAGGTTGCAATTCAGAACCCGATGATCAAGAGCTTTTTGTTGGCCGACATCACTTCATGTACTACTACATCTTGTTTTGTCAAGTTTTGGAATCATGTGGTTAAGAATCCAAAAAAATTCGGTACCAATACTAGTTTGATAATCTTGTCAAAAGATCTAATTGTGTCCAGATAGTCTTTATTGGCCTAGCACCTTTTTATTGAGTTGCCAACACTCTTCAAGCCTTTGTCATCCACGTCCATCCAACTAATGATGAAAAATTTTGAATAAGATCATCTAGTCAAGCTTCTTCAGAAGCACATGAACTTTGCCGATGTCTTTGAGCAGAAGAAAGCAAACCTTCTCCTCAAACACCGTTCGTACGAATACTCAATTGATTTAGATAAGTTTTGACACCTACTTTTGTTCCAATCTATGTAATTTTGAAACCCACACTTCAAATTTTGCGAGACTTCCTGGCCAAATATCTTGCAAAGAAATTTATTCTACATTCCAAGTCTCTAGCAAGCACTCCAATCTTGTTTTCCAAGAAAAAAGACAGTTCTTTCCACCTTTATGTGAACTATCGCATACTCAATCGAATCAATAAAAAAAATTGATATCCTTTGTTTCTGATTTCCAGCCTCCTTGAGCATCTTCGCTCGGATAAAGTATTCATCAAGATTGATCTCAGAGGAGCTTACAAACTTGTTTAGTTTTGACCTGAAGACAAATGGACGACAGCTTTTTGGACACATCACGTTTTGTGAGATTTATTTAAGGCTTGAGATTACAATGTACTTAGTGTTTGTGTGAATATAAGTTAGGAAGAAAAATCATAAATAGTGTGGGTGTTATGTGTGTTCATTGTAACTAGAGTTGAGTGTAGTATGTACTTTCAAGTTGTATTACAAACTCGTACTATGTGTTGTATTAGAGTTGAATGTACTAGATACTTTCAAGTTGTACTACAAACTTGCACTACGTGACTTGACTGTAATACGTACTCCATAGTTGTACTAACCACATACTAGGTTTTACTTTTGAAATTTTTCTCGCAAAGCTATATAGTAAAAAGTGTGCAACTCATTCCGCTCCGTCCCAACTTTGCATTTTCACAGGTTGACGGCTTGAAGGTTTCCGCGTTTCTTTTCGTGTGTGTCTTGAGATTTCTTTGTTCTTCTATGTGACTTGACATTGAATGTTGTGGAATTAGACTGAGCCAACGAAAGTAGTTAGAAGGAATGGTGCTTTTTATTCCAAGACAAAATCCGTTTGAGAGAAAAGTGGTCTTAGGGACAGAAAAACAATTTTTCAAACCAATGTCAAAAAAAAAATTGATTGTAGAACAAATAATGAAGTATGTTTTAAATTTTGTTTCAAGTCTAGATCATATGTAGATAAAGAGTTATAAGTGTGAATGGCATCTTGTTGATTTTTTATTTGAATTGATGGTACCTGAACAAAATTATCACACAATAGAATGAGAAAAATTAACCATTGTGATGGCAACAAAACACTATAAACATTATTTAAGTATTAGAAAATTTGTGATGGAAACCAATAATTAATCATTAAGTTATTCAACAAATTAGAAATTTTGGTCTAAACGATAAATGTGATGGATAGAATGACGTCAGCGTTTCAACATAAAGATTATGTAAGTGAAATACAAGAAATAACTTGTATATGCTTTCACATGCACATCATGTCTTAATCATGTTGCAAAAGTGATTCTTCAAATCGATTGTTGGAGCAAACAGATCATGAGAGCAACACAAGGTCAGAAAATGAACACGTGTTGAGGTTAGACATTTTACAAATAACATCCATGGATTTTACAATAGCAAAATTTGCGCACAAAGATTTTATCAAAAAGTCATGATATAATCATTTTAGGTCATGTGGGAGCAAGGAAGATCTTAGAAAACATACAACGAGTATATCATTTGTCTAAAATAGAAAATTATATTAAAATATATGTTTGAAAATATGTAGTTGGTCAACAAAACAAGTAATTGTGCATCTAGTTTTGATTGACCCAAATTTGCTAGCAAATGATTCAGTTGTGATTATTATAGATAAATTGAGCAAGATGACTCGTATCAAGTTAATCACAAAAATGATTAGGGTTTCACAACTTGCTCAATTGCATCCAAATGCAATTGTTGTGAATCATGGATTGAGCAAAATCTTAATCACTTGTAGAGACATTCATTTTATTAGTTTATTTTGAAAAACTTTGGTAGATTTTAAAACAAAATTAGCAAAGTTTACGATTTATTATACTCAAACTGATGATCAAACAGAAATATCCAATAAAATTATAAAATGCATGTTATGGACATTCACATTGAACAAGCAACAAGATTGATGTATTTTTTTTGCTTCTTGTGCAATTTGGAGATAACAAATTTGTCAATGCATCAATCCACAAGGGTGATCCCATTTCGCTTCATGTAAAATGCTCATCACATAATTCCATCAAATTTTATGAAGCTTCCAAAAAAAGAGAAGTTTTTTCACCAAGAAATTTGCAATCAACAACTTGATGGAGTATATTTAAAGAAATCTACATCAAGCCAAGCAAAAGTTGATGATTGTTTAAAATTGACAAAAATAACATGCAGATGTTTATCATAACAAATTGATTTTGCAGATAAGACATTATGTTACAATATCTATAAACAATATTATAAACAAATGTGATTCTTGTAAGAATACCATCTAAAGATCTATGTTTTTACCCTAGATTTATTGGTATTTTTGTGATGTTGCAAAATGTTGATGAAATATCATACATATTAAAAATTTTGTCAAATATGAAGATATATTTTATATTTTATGTTTCAAAATTGCAAAAACATATTTTATTAACAAAACAATTCACCAACATTATTTCTCTATCGACCTTGATAGTTCATTATGAAAAATTTGAGCTTTCATTTTATAACCCTCGATTCGGATTATAGTTAGGTGGCTCTTCTTTTAAGGCACTTTTGTAATCTTTTGTGCCCTAGGATCATTGCCTGAGTTGAATGAGAGCTAAGGATTCTCAAGACCAGAACACGGACAAAGATTGCTATCAAAGAAACGAGGGCTCAGATGAGGTCTTACGTCGTCAGTGTCAGATACATAGAACTATGGCTGGCCGATAAATTCCGGGATCTCTATGAGAGCTGATGTCAAGTCCGTCAGGATTTAAACAACATCTTCTATTGCCAGATTATCTTTTCCTAGGATCTTGAGTTGTAGTAACCTAAGTTGTCAAATCACACTAAAATCTAATGCTAATCATGTTACAAATAAATATATACTTTACTAGATCAATTTATTGTACTTGTGGTTAAACCTACTTCACTCTAGGTGATACGTCATCCAGCTGGCTTGATCTCTCCGGGTGTCACGTGCCATACAAGTGAAGATATCTAGTCGCCCATCCTCCAACAGGACATCTTAGTACTGTAACCCAGTATAGGTAGATTCGAGTTTGTCCTAAATTTTCACTCGGCTCTGTAAGTTGCTGCTCCTCCCGCCACTGGAACTTTTGTATACGACGACCTTACAGAACGTAAATGTCGTATGTCTTTTGTATACGACGCTGGTACTTTACTTCTAACGTCGATACCACCGTTGCTTGCTACTGCCATCACTCCAAACCGCACTGAATGATATTTGAAGTTACATCAAATTCACAGTTGATAATAAAACTCTTGTGTGTAATTGTGTTCACTCATTCAAAACAAAATCCTTTTTAAAGTGTGCATGCTAACTTGAAATCCAACATGATGTTAGGATTGAAAAGGAAAACACACATCTAGTGCAATGCCTAACTCAATCTACACATAAAAGAGAAAAATAATTCAAACGGTAGACAATAAGAAAGAATTGAAAAAATTTCTAACCCTTGATCGAAATCATTTTATTTTAAACATCAAAGCAAACTGCATTTTCGAAAGAGTTTCATAAAAAACAAGATAGTGAAATGTGTTTGCTCTAAAAGTTTTAAATTCATTACTTGAAAGCATTTGTGGAATTTAGATCTATCCATCAAGATTTGGCGAAAATTACATGAGGCTGTCATACAAGCATTGCTTGCGGGCAATAAGTCATTTATTGACATACAACTTTGTGTGATGCGATAGAAAATTTGTGAGTGCTTTCAATCAATTATGAGATACTTTTCTTTATTATTGCTTGTGGAGTGGTTTGAGATGTCTAACGGAGTCTTCTATTTGTTACCCAAAAGTGTGCTTATGAAATCGTTGAGTTAAGTTGTTCGCACAGCTTTTAGACTTCCAAGTGCTAAGTAACTAACTTTTGCATGTGTTGTCAAAGTATTTCTTACAAGTAATTGTCTTATGGCTTACACGTTCCTCGCGGACTTGTAAGTTAATGCAAAAAATAAACAACTTGGCGGAACACAGAATTCGAAACTAAGGGGATTCCAATAATCTCGATATGATCAGTTAAAGATGTTGAAACAACCTAGTATGACCACCAGCCTGTAGTTTGTTTCCTGAGCCAAGCTACTACTTACACGGCAGTAGAAGATAAAACTGTTCCATCTTGTCTGAGTCAGGGCTGATGACCATCTTGAGCTGAAATGTTATAGTAAAGAGTTATTCCGCAATGTCTAATTGCAAACTTATATCAAGGCGTACGCTGCGGTCAGTTATCTCGTTCAGATCCCTACGGTCTTATCCGGCACTGAACATCTTCCCATCTTCTTACTAAAACTCAGAAAATGTCATGGTAAGGGTCCCCAGCACGCTCGACAATCTCGGCAGCGTCTCTCTCAGAAAACAGATTAAGAGATATTTTAGAACCAGTCTCAAAGACTATGATAGATCACTTTCTCAATAATACATGTGTACAAATGATCCAAGACCCACGAAGCACTATCTAAATAGATTTGACATTCTCCTGGAGACAGAGAAGGCTGATGACCTTTTCAGGTGGCAGGGTCATCTGGTAGCCTTAATAGCTTGAAGAATAAACCAATTGAGAACGCAAGACAGGGTCTTCGTGGTCGGAACCGTCTGGACTCCTTCGAGCTAGAGAAGACTCCAGTGTTCCGCCCAGCAAGCTGTACAGCGTGCTGCAGTCCAGTCTCTTTTCTCATAATGCTGTTCTTCTATACGCAATCACTGGTTTCCAGGTAGTATTCTACTTGGACCTGTCAGACCTATTCATGGTTGCAAATCGGGTAATTTTTCGGTGTTGACTAGTAGATGCAACGGAAGTTTTAAAACCAGCCCTTGCTCTCCGAGCTCTCCAGGCTTTCTGTATACGTCTTGCAGCTAGAGATCGCCAGTATAACGACAAATACCTGCAAAATACACGAATGAAATCAGCATCAGTTTCCTGAATGTCCTTCAGTGAAAGTAATAAATATTAAGATAACAAAATGCAAAGGGCGACAGAGCAATAACAGTGACGTGTTGTCAAGAACAAAAGCACGCATACATGCGATGGAAGGAAAACTAATTGTGTGTGTAGGAAAACCAGCATGCACATGAGTGAGTAGGCAGACTTTAATAAGTATAACGGTCTAAGACTAGTATTACCAATTGAAGACTATGTACCATCTCAGCAGTTAAGACCGATCAAAGTAGAGGCATAAGCAAGATTCAATTACGGATATTTTGTGGTACTCACTAACAGGAAGTATCAATTATAAGAAGGTCGGTAAGTTCAAGCTCTCTTTTCATGACATATCTGGTCAGAACACTGGGAAAATGTGGATATAACAGGAGTAACATAGAGGTATGCAGTATAATTGCCCAACCTCGAAGTCTAAAAACAGCGAATCAAAGTGAATACATGCAAAACTTAGTGTAATTGCCCAACCAACATGGGCAGCAGTCTTTGGTACGGAAGTCCTTGATATTAGAAATTCTAACAAGAGTAGGACTTACTTAGACACTAGACTTACCTCCTAAGAATTAAACCTAAATTCTTGAAAAGACGACAACATAAGCAGAAGTTCAAGCCGACAATCACATACCTAATTGCACCCTGTACTTGTGGAGATTTAAATGCTCGCTTGTAATGGGTGGTAATGTACTCCAGTGCATCTGCTTCTAAAGAGAAAGCTTCCACACTAGTCAAACAATGAACAGTTCTACTTGATAATGGATGCTTTCCCATACTCTTGGCGATTCCAGTAGACTTCTTCCCACCTATAAAAATAACAACAATGAGTAAAAATTAGAGTCAATAAGCATTGAACCTTCATCCACACTGCCTCAATGCGTGAAAATTATGTCAAGGCACTAGGAACGGGTGACACATATACATGCCATACGAGTATCCTAATACTAAATAAGTATCCTAATCTCCACTCGTGACGAGCCCTGAAGTCCCTGGACGACTCGTGTGTAGTTCAGATTTGTCATAACCAAGATTTACAGTAGAGAGGCTCTGACTCTTTCATTGAACGAAAATAACTTAGAACTTACTACTGACGCCCGCCATGTCAATGTACCAAGACAGGAGCTCTTCGCCGCAGAAGTCCCCTTCCTTTAAAGCCACAACACTTCCGTCTTCCCCTCTACTCTCCAACTTCCCACGAACAACAAACAACATCCGCTCTACAGGTTTCTTAGCTCGGAAAATCTCACTGTCGTCGATGTAAAGTTTTTGGTAGAGCCTCTCACAAATAGCGTCCAGTACGTGGTCTTCAAGGAGCTCGAACAATCGCACCTGTTCAGTCAGAGATCTTAGAAAGATGAACTCGAAGTGCCAGAATGCGTCTCGAACAGTACTATGAATACTTATGATTATCTTCAACATAGATCACTCACCTTCTTGACCAGTTCTAAGCAAAGATAACGCTGGACGTCCTTCTGCAGATCTTCAGGCAAGTCAGCCAGTAACTCTCTTTCTTCCACACCTCCAGTCGCAACCCATCTGAATCGCCCAGCCTGCCTAACTCGTCTGAAATTCAAGGGGAAAGATATCGAAGACGACATTCGTTATGTGACCTCGAACTAATACATGAGTGATGAAACAGAAAAGTGATCACCAATTCTAAGAAATCTTATATGCAGACATGAAGAAACTCTTAAGCTACTTACTGGCGTTCTGCAGGGAGCATCGGCTTCAACTATTTTTTTTAAAGGCCACTCTCAAAATTCGTGTAGAGACAATCCAAAGAAACCCACACAACCTTCAACTAGATCAAGAATCTTTTCAAGACACCATTATCTACTGGATTGACTACCCTTCTTGTTTGGGGTTACAGACATTCCTAGGTGTCGTGATAAAGTCATGCAGTACTTGATGAACATGAGTACTTGACAACATTCACTTTATTCTTTCCACCATGCAACGATGGATTAACTGCGAAAAGGTAACGGATGATCCATGGGAATTTACCTCCTCAATAAAACAGGCAAGCGACGTCGCTTCATCCAAACCTCAGTGTCATATCTCTTCAGTTGCATTTCTAGCTTCCTGCCCGAAAACAGCATCACTGAGTTCGAGAGAATAAAATGTCGTGCTCACTTTTTACTTAAAACTATAATACGATATATATTCTACAAAAGTAATTTTCTTCACGACAAAACCTGCATTGAAAGCACATGAGTCTACTACAACGCGATTACATTAAGAAAACTGGATAATATGATGCCGCCATGTCCTAAAGCTTTTAACACAGAGTGTGAGGATCAGGCTGCAATGGCAGGCAACAGCTTCCAGGAACTGTAATAACATGTTCAGGAAACAAGAGCAACCAGAGAGAATCCAGCTGGAATCCAAAAGTATTCTCCGAAGCAACGAAAGCATACTAGGGTTCTATATCGATTATACAAACGTTTTCTCTTCGTGATACATTACAGACGAGAAACAACAAAACTTAGATACCTGCGACCAAGGGCCATTAGAAAATTTTGCATGTTGCCGATAAGCAACGCAAAGAGTAACAGACCCAAACCTACTAAACCCATTGTGAAGAGCACCTCCCACGCAAATAAACTCGGTACTAAGTTTCCGGCTAGTGTACTAATTTGCTGCAAACAGAAGATCAACCGACTGTGTAAGCGTGAAGGGAAATGATATACCTGCGGCCAAGGGCCATGAGAAAATTCTGCATGTTGCCGATGAGCAATGCAAAAAGTAACAGACCCAACCCTACTATTCCCATTGTGAAGAGCACCTCCCAAGCAAACAAGCTCGGGATCAAGTTTCCAGCTAGAGTACTAATTTGCTGCAATAACAGGTACCAAATAATAAAAAGTGAGGGGCTTAGTTTCCTGCAATAAAAAGAAACTGATAGGACAGTGACAGGAGTTGGACCTGCTGCAAAAACTAAACAAGAAAAAAGTTAGGTGAAATCTGATTCGCTGCCCAAAAACAAAAAACAGAAACAAAAAAGGGAGGTATTAAATGCCTACTCCTGAACCAAAAAATGCCGCAGATTTACGAGGCAAAACACTTTAGCTTTGAAGGTGTTAGAAGTAGTACCTGGAAACCCCAGAAAAGGGAATATATATACTTGTTGATGACCTTCTTTTCCATAGCTACTTGGACTCCCATTACATAAATTCCGTAGGAGAATGTAGGGGAAGGGCCTAGACAATTTGTACCCACTTCAGTGTTTGCTATCCAGTAGACCCGCTTAGGGTCTTCATACTTAAAATCTGGGCTTGTATTATCTCCACAATCCAGGAAGAAAAGCTCGCATCCATTATCAGCGCGACAATTATCCTGCAGACACTGATTGACACGCTGTCCACCAGGAAAAATGACGTTAAGCTTAGGTTAACATGACTAATTTAGAAGCATTCAAACTTCAGCAATACAGATGGTTTTCCTGTAACTCAAATCAACCGTGGTGGAAGCTTGCAACGCTTCATGACTACAGAAGCGACGAAACATCAGATCCTACCTACTTCAATACTTTCACAGATATTCACCAGGAAACCGTCCTGGCAAGCTAACCTGACATTATATGATACGGTCAGTATGAATGCATAGTCGTTTGTGGAAAGATGAGCGGCACGGTCAGAACAGCCACCCTGTACACCATGCATCAACAACAGGTATCCTTAATCAAATGATTGCTATCTATGCTATCTCACCTGCAGTCCAAATAGGTACCAGCATGATCCGACTACATGACCGGCAAGAAGGTACATGAGCAGATTGATGACAAAGTTGGCCCAAGCAGTTTCGAAAACAAAGCCGCTCGGGGATCGACCAATCAACAGAGGAAAGAATCGAAGAGCTCTTGGTATGTTCTGAAGTAAAACAACAACTCGCAATACATTTTTGGCGTAGTTTGCCCCATTTCTGCTCCCAGTGTACTTTTTCACCACCGTCCAAATTAACAGCTGTATTGAAATACGCCAAACATTGCCAGTACCATAAGCGTGTTGAAATTCTTGATGGCTTTCATGACTAATAAGATCCTAACAAAGGTTTCATAAAGAGGTCAGTAATTCAAACGGTCAGATCTTTCAATTGAAACCGAGATGTCTGCATCGGCAAAACAACGAAGATCACAAACTATACGATATCTGTACCTGTGGTAAAGGCAGAGCCGTAAATAAATCCAAACAGAACCAGCCTTGCAAGTAGTGCATGGCCACCTTCTTTGGATCATCTTCAAGCTGACCAGCATTCCGTACTTTTGAAGCAGGTGCTACGTAAGCCAAACGGAACTGAAAGACACACGTTTCAACTTTCCTCATTAGACAACAAATAAGACACTGCTAGAGAGAACGAACCCCACGCAAGGGAACTTGGCATAGTAAACAGGTACCAACCAAAGTCTTCCTTTTAGCACCCTCAGTATGCTCATCTTACGATGCAACTACCCAGATTTTATATCCAACCTCAGTCCAACCAACGAGATTCACATACTTCCTCTCAAACGCAGATATTTTTGTTCCAACTTACAGAAATTTATAAATGTGAAACGTAAGCGTCTTCATTGAATATATTCACTGCATTTAACCACATCAAACGATGAAGCTGAGCACTATCTTCCCGAGAATGAGGCCTACCTGTAGGAAGATGTGACAAACGTGGATTGTGTCTGTCAAAGTTCTCACGACAGTGACTGTCACAGCAGCGGCATTGTTGAAAACCAAGCACATGTAGTCCTGATTCAGAGCATCAGTTATGTGAAAGAGATAAGTTACAAGACGAAAAAGGTTCGTTCGGAATTTCCACGCTTTCGATGTCTACAGTGCCTCTCATTGCGTGCTATATTGAAACTTGATTTTTCTAAGCTTCATAATTTGTCCTAAATAATATCTGAATGCTCAGACCAGCCAGGCTCCTACAACAGGAAAACACTTCAAGAAGAAAAGAGCAGCTTCAGTTGTAGACGCAAAAAAAAATAGTTTACTCTGCTACAAGAATGTAACTGAACGCTCTTGTTGCAGTGACCTTCGTCCAGTTACTAATGTAAAGAAAAAAGAACAACCCAAACAGAGATAATCACTTCATTTTATGTATTACATTTCTTGAGAGTTGAAGTTACCTCTCGTACGGAGAGCAAGAAAAAGAAGATTGGATCGATGAAAATGGCTATAAGGGACGAAATACAAAATAATTTGTTCCATCGCTGAACAATCTTCGTATGAGGGTTCAAAATTCCAGGAAGCCAGCTTTTACCCACTGCTACAGCTCTCTTCCTTATGTGGTGTGCCCCTCCTATAAAAGCGTTTCGAACCTGGTAACAAGATATGAGCAGAAACCCAGCATTTTGTCAGAGCAGTAATCACACTGATTTTCAGTCGACTAAATAGTAACGGCAAAAGATGGTGTCCTCATTAAATACACCGAATTGAAATTATCTCATTTCGTTCATCCTACGCTTGTACTTGAGACTGGAATTGAAAGGCCTTGTAGCTGAGACAATTTAATGACCCACAATTTGATGAATTTAAGTTTTCTGTTTCTTTTAGAGATAAAAAACAGACATGGTACTTCGCAACAATGCCGGAAAAAGCACTCGATGGTTTTGCGATTTTAGACACAGAAAGAAGAGGGTCTCACATGATCAGAGCGAGAAACTGTGCCAAAGTAAGAAGGACATGTTGTGCAAAAAGGATCATCACATTTGCCCAAAGGACCAGACTTCAGCAGATGCTCATGCTTCCTGTTATCAAAAGGATTCCGTTGTTTTGAAGCAACAGTCGCCCCACTATGTCCGTACAAATCAGCAATATCATTCTCGTCGGGGCCGATCTTCAAGCTATATTCCTGAGAGCTCGATGTTCTTGAAAGCTCAATGCCTTCCAAGTTGGATTGGTCACCCTCATCGTGTAACATAGGCACATGGTCCACACGTCCATTCCTGCCCATCCCCCCGAAAGTAAAACTCACTGAAACGTACAACCAGGGAGCTTCGATCAGCAAACTTCCAGATGCCTTAGATACACCGAAGATAGAGTAATCGGAACTTTGGGTTGGCAAAAGATTAAACATGGAAGACATGCAGTAGACAGAGTGGAATAGCTCACAGCTCACATCCTAAGCCTGTCAACAAAATTCAAATCACTCCACGCCCATATAGCCCGTTTTTCATGAAATTTCTTCTTTTAAGGCGATTGAAGACATGGCTTGCTCTAACAAGCGACGTACGATGAACTACTGCTCAAACTATAACAGGTCCTTCAGCTACACTGGCCGGACTAATTTAAACCGTGTCATCGATTTCACTGTCATTTTTGCGTGCGTTATTCAAGGAAACCCGATGTGCTTCAGTAAAAGCGCAGTGCTGTCTCGCTTTGAGCACTGGATTCGCAGAGGTGAGCGACAACTTGAGGAGAAGAACAAGTAAGCAATATGTTTGTTACAGAATCCAACTTGCGACCTCAAAGTTGACGATCCGACCGTATACATCGTTGCTTAACGGCACAAAAACCATGAATTTTTACATCAAAGTTCTGCCTGCCAATTGTGCGGTTCGACTGAGCTAAAAAGTACGACTTTGCTCTGCTTTCAATAACTCCCCAAGGTTCCTCTGAAGATGCGACTGGATGAATGTTGGTACGAACTTGATAGTCCTGTATGTCAACTTCTTAACATGGCAGGTTACAGATCTACATCCTTCTGCAGCCCCAAAGACCCAATAGAAGCATTCGTCCCAGCTATCTGATCTCATGTGTGAGGAAACGAACAACTTGACCAAGAGCCTACACAATGACTCAGCAGACGGCAAGTGCGACACAATCGTCCGATTTGCGGGTGATACAATCTACATTTCATGAATGCATGGAATCAGGAAGCAATTCGTCTACGCAGTTCTCTACATTTCTTCATGTGAGGCGGAACGAAACTGAAGAACCCATCGCAAGCTAGCTCTCGCTCTCTGGGTAGTGGATGACAAACCTCGGACTTCTCGTTTCCAATTGACGACGCAGACTTACAGAGATTACATATTCCTCATCTCACAGCTCGATCTGACTCTTCAGGTCGTAGAATTCACAGAAACTCTGAGGTTGGATGTGCTTCCAGATGAATCGAAGCAAACTTTTTAGACCATACTCAATGACTAAGCACCAGCTCTCGCTTCCACGCCACGATAGACTCGTGCAAGTGTGACGAGGTCGTTCCAGAGACTAACATCTCTAATGCTCCAAGGCCACGAGTTAGAGGGGTACAATTCCAAGATATTCAGCAAATGAGTAAGATCGTCCTCCTTCCTGCGCTTTTCTTATATCCTCGTGTACCTGACCGCCCCCGAGGAGCTGTAAACCGGACTAGCCTCTCGGAAGGCCAGGAAAGTCTAAGATTTCATTAGCCTGACGGCAATTAGAAAGACCTGTCAAGCCCGACTCACATAAAGCCCAGGGAAACTCTCCCACATTCTGCCGTGGAAGGATTCCCCGCACCGCTCCCCAGATGGTCCTTCTCCAGAATTCTTGGCTAGCTTGGCAGTCGAAGAGCCAACAAGCGAGAATATGAGAGAGCAGGAAGACTTGCGCGAAGGCTTCAGCGCAACGCGCAAGCTCGAAGCCCATTTCGGTCCCAAATCCCAGGCTTCTTCGGTCGCCAATAGCGCGCCGCGTGACCACTGCTTGCTACACGCCAAACCGGCCTTTGACTTTGCCCTGCCTCGCTCCCCGTCGTCTTCAAGATCTGTGGGGAGCATCAAACATCCACTCAAACTCCATCGCCGTCTCCCTCTGTTCTCTGCTGCCTTCCGCCACCACGCGCGGGGCCCGCCCCCCTTCGCTCCGTCTGCAGAGTGCGACGAACAGTTCATTCTTTACTCTTTAATGTCCTCCACCTCCCAGTCATGATGCGATCTGCGCTCCCTCGACGCTCCCAGGGCGTCCATGATGATCAAATCAGGAGAGTGTCAACCCCTTCGGATTTCTCCAGAAGCAAATTCTCCCCTCGCCCTCCCTTCCAAGATCCTTCGGTCCAGGCTTTGTGCTCCCGGTATAAAGGCCCTGCACCGAATCTCATGTTCTAATCTTGAAGACCTCGTTGGAAATCTGGAAGCCAGCCGCTTAAGCCGAGCCGAAATAAGGATTACGCCAAAACTCGGTCATCGCAATGACCAGGGTTCGGTAGATTGGAATTTCGGTCCTTCGGGTCTATAAAGTTTCATGACCGGGGATATACATAATGGAATGTGGGTACCATTATCTGGGTTGCAGGATATGTGTACAGCCACTTTTCTGACGCATGGCGGATAATGGACCCGCCAGGTTATTGGAGGTTCTTCAAGTTGGTGACTTTAGTAGGTTTGCAGAAGAGGTACGAAAAGGCAGACTTGATATTCCATCCTTGACTCCTGAACTGACAGCTTCACGTCACCAAGCAGGAAGCCACTCTCCCCGTTGTCAACAGCACGCTCGACTACCTTTTGAACACTTGATTTTCAGTCACAAGCTGGACTCACCTGCAATAACCTTTAACCTTCACAGGTTCTCTCTTCCATTCTCCCTATCTCCGTATCACTACCAGCCACTTTCATTCATAGCTGACCACAACTTTATCTTAATGTCGTGTCAAGATGGTTAGAACAAAAATCTAGCAAACTAAGTTTATCATCTGGCAAATGAGATCTATAAACATCAAGAAGATATACCCTGCAGGATATAGATGTATATGTGGGTCTGGATCTGCAACCAAGAAGGCTAACGGCGGGCATCAGTTATCATTACCTAGTTACCTATATACCAATTTAAGGGTATTGCTAACCCATGAGATTGAAATAGCAATAAGAAAGGAAGACCTGGTCAAGTACTAGAGCGATGAATCCAATATAAGATATCATAATTAATTTTCGTCTAGGTGTTTCACAAAATCATTATCACCGTAACTTTGATTAAAGATTTCACTTTAAAAAAATCTCATCAAATTGTGAAACTTTGTTTGATAAAACTGTCAAATCAACAATACTTACTAAATAATATATAATCATTCTAAACATTGGCTTAGTTTTTAAATAAAATTTAAAAATTTCAAGTTAGTTAAAATTATTATTTTTTACAATAGAGGTGCATGTTTACATCATTGGTATTTATTGGCTCTTTTTTTTCCATCAATTGATTGTAATGAAATATGATACATTTATATTTTGGTTAGAATCCAACATCAACATTACAAATTTAAATATTAAAAATTTTGTATCAATCATTAAAAAAAATTCAATGCAACTTTCAAAATAATTTCATTTAGAGTTCAAGTTCCAAAAAAATTCCATGTTACTAAATATAAATTGGTTTTTTATAGTTTAGATTTGGATCATTTTATGTATACTAACATAAAATCACGTTTGATATAATCCAAATGATGCAATAAAAAATTTAAAAATATATAGATCTAGAACAAAAAGAGGAAATTTTATACTAAATTTTTTCTGGACTCAAAAAATGTAATTTATATTTGATAAAATAGCCAAAGAAATTAAATAACTACGCTAAAAGTATCCAAAATTTAATAATTAAAAGATTTACAATCATACCTTCATTTATGTTGTCAAATCTCTTAATGTTGGAACATATGCATGAAAACTGATATAATTTATTGATGCATGTAAGAATTATATTTCAATGATTTTATTGTTAATTGATTTATTTAATTATTTATTGATATTCTATTTAATACGAATTATGGTTTTGTGTCAAAACAGTAATTATTTATTGTAAATTTTTTTGATACATTTTTATTTTGAATATAAAAATACATCATTTGAATTTATTCTATAGTGATTTTCTTGCCTAAATATTTTCTTAAATTTTGAATATTGAAAAAATAAAATTTTAATAAAGAAATCCAATATACTTCATGATACATTGATTATGGTGCTATATTTTTTTCTACACTAAAATTTTACATTTTGAGTGATTTGCATTTTTTTTACTATATAAAGTAATCTTTGAGTAAGTACAATGTGTAAAAATTAGTTTTAATTTAATTATTTTTTTAACTCAGAATGATTTTTTATTCTTAAAATCTCAAAATCATTTTTATTGTGCCTGTACTTTGTTAAAAGAGGATGCTTTACTAATGAAAAAGCATCCTTTTTCATTCAACAAAAGTCTAATTTGTGCATCATACAATAATTTATTTGCTACCTTTCCACTGTCTAATGTAGAGATCTATTAAGGATCCTATAATGACATATTCTTTATTGTGATCGATAGAATAATTAAACTCACATTAATCTATATGATCATGCTTCTCAGTCACAAAAATTAGTATAATAGTTTTTTGTTGTCAATTCAACCTCTCAAAATAAGACAAAAGAAGATACAGTTGATAATATTAGACTTTTTTTTATTATTTTTTCCAAATAATGTTTGATTTATAAGTGAATTATAAGTTTATATTTATATCATATAAAATTGATGCAATATTTTTTAGAATTTAAAAAATTGTGGAAAAAAGTTACAAGGAAGAAATATGAAATAGTATGATCATTTGTGACATAAAACATATATTGAAAAATATTAGTTATACTCGCTGACAAAAGAGGTATTCTGAAATCCACAATTATCATATGAAGCCTTGATTGGCACATTGAAAACATAATTAGTACAAAGAAATTAATACTCACACAGGATAGTTCATGAAGTAATTTCCTTACTTGCAATCATTAAAAATTCAGAAATTTCAAATTCCTAAATCTCAAACCACTCCTTTCATTCTCATCATATTTTCATGATCAATCATCTATAATTCAAGAAGTTGATACAGAAAACGATCTACATATTTAGGTTAAGAAACAATTTAATAAAAAAAAACCCGACCAATATCTATCAGTACAATTTCATTGAGACTATATTTTGCTCCAAAAATAGAATTGTATATTCATTCTCACCTAAGAAAAAAATATAACCTCGCGATGGCTAATATATTAATGAGATCATCCTATCCTGTTCTCCCGGGTTTCTCATGGCATTATTTACAAATACATATTTCATCATTTAATTGCTCATTTGTAGGTTTCACAGCGCGCTGTAATTAATTTACAAGAGTTATCAGTTGTTTTGGGTTCAGACCGGCGCCACGGGAACCAAAAAAATTGGTTTTTGGTTGCAAGTTTTTAGCACTGCCTGCGGGGCCCAAGGGAACTTTGTTTTGTCGGACATATTCCTCCCCAGCCCTCAAGTGCAAATCTATATTTCCTGGTGAGAACATCATATATAAGGTCCAAAGATCTCGCATGAGATTTAGTGCTCCATCGACCGCAATCTTCATGCCTTGCTCTGAAACTCCTCAAGCAACACCTCTTCGTTCGATCCCCGGCCGTAGCAGGCACCTGCCCCACGTCAACACGCTCCCGCGGCATCTTGGGGTACAGACGCTGGTATATACACCAGGCAAGCTCGTACCGTCGGGCCATAAGCACATCGGGTCTCTAATTTGAAGTATGTATGTACTGTCGCCAACAAATGACGTATGGAGTCGTCCACGTCCCGGCGTGGGTCTCCAGGTAGGCTCCCTGCGCCAACAAAGGCCCGACTCCACCAGCGCCGTGTTTTTTTATGCCTGTCGCCGGTACCGGCTCACAGCAAAGCACGTGAACGGACCGTCGCGACCCTGAGCTCCCCTCACCGGTGGTCCCAAAACTACCTCCGACAGCTCTGCCGGCTAGCAGATACAGACTGAAAACTGAACTCGATACTATGTGGATCCCGGTTATATCCACAACAGTATACCCTGCCTTAATAACCGTGTACCTGATGACCGACGCTTCCACCAGAGTACGGTTGGATGGGCAATATTGAATTCTCCTCAGAAGAGAACAGCTCGATCCCGAGGACCAGTGCATGCTTATTATATATCATATAACGTGGAGAGTCTCAATACGCCAAGGCTCGTATCGTAACTGTGTGGTTTTCGACATAATAGTTTGCAAATATGGTCGCCGCGCCTACAGAGTCCGAGACAGTCTGTTCCACCAGTTTCAAGGTTTGATCTAGTTTGAGAAGCTTGTTGGAAAACTTGAGGACCTCCAATTTGATTGGTTGAGGACCACAGATACGACCTGGACAGCATGACAGGAGAAGACAGTCTGAGACGACACGATCTACCTTCCCGCGTTACACGGGGCCTGGCCGTAGGACTTGCGGAAGTCCACACCACTACAGAGGTCCTCAGGATTTGCCAATTCGATCAGTACAGCGCAATCGTGGTTCACACAGAATTGGTAAACTGAGAAGACTCCAGCCCGTTAAAATCAGAATACCCGAATTAGCGGATCTGTACTGATATCTGTATTTCCTTATCTGTATTTACACCGCCCGATGCTGGAGCACAGCTGTAGAAATCGTCTTCAGATTATATCGTACCCTAAAGCCATACACAATCAAACCTTGAGAGAGTCGAGAATACGAAGAAGAAGATTCTGTGATAACGAACTCTGTTTGATGATGCTATTGGCATGCATGTGCGTGCGTTTATTAGATATGTTGTACAATCTTTGACTTTTGTTTATACATATTGAAAAATAATTATGATTTATTTTATTTTTTTCAATGTTCAATGATTATATTGAAAAACTATTAA